GAGGAGACTGGATTTATACCCCGCCCTTCACTACCCAAAGGAGTCTCAGAGCGGCTTACAATCTCCTTTCCCTTCCCCTCCCCACAACAGACACCCTGTGAGGTAGGTGGGGCTGAGAGAACTCTTTTGAGGACTGCTCTTTTTGAGGACTGCTCCTGAAAGAACAGCTCTGAAATAACTTGTGACTGACCCAAGGTCACACCAGCAGCTGCATGTGGAGGAGTGCTCTGCTAGTGAGCCAGTTCTTCGGCCATCCGGTTGAGATCTGTCTCCCGAGACTGGCAGCAGCTTCTCTGATGTTTCAGATTCAGATGGGTCACCGTGTTAGTCTGTCTGTAGCAGTAGAAAAGAGCACCCATTTCAGACAAGAGCTGTGCCGCGGTCGCGCCTCCCTTGGCCCCGCTTCTGTTGGTCAATTTCCCACTCGAAGCCGCGTGGCCGCATTTTGACCTGAAGCTTCGCCCGATTTCCCCCGCGGTTTCATGATCCTGTTTTTTGAGGATTACGAAACCGCAGGAAAAAACGGGCGAAGCCGCGGGTCAAAATGCAGCCGCGCAGCTTCGAGTGGGAACTTTACCCATAGAAGCGGGGCCAAGGGAGGCGCGACCGCAGCGCAGCTCTTGTGTGAAATCGGTGCTCTTTTCTAATGCTAAAGGTAAAGGTAAAGGTTCCCTTGCTCGAAAGCCAGTCGAGTCCGACTCTAGGGCTGCGGTGCTCACCTCCGTTTCAAAGCCGAAGAGCCAGTGCTGTCCGAAGACGTTTCCGTGGTCATGTGGCCGGCATGACTAAACACCAAGGCGCACGGAACGCTGTTACCTTCCCACTGAAGTGGAAACTATTTATCTACTTGCAATTTCTTGCTTTCGAACTGCTAGGTTGGCAGGAGCTGGAACTAGAGATGGGAGCTCACTCCGTCATGTGGCACACTCGGGTCTCGAACTGCTGACCTACCGACCTTCCACAGCCTGCAGTTCAGCGTCTTAACCACTTGAGCCACCGCAGCTCCTTCTACTGCTACAGACAAACACGGTGACCCATCTGAAACTGAAACATCAGAGAAACTGCTGCCAGTCTCGGGAGACAGATCCGAACCGGATGGTCGAAGAACTGGCTCACTAGCAGAGTACGTGCCTTTCACTGGGAAGGTCCTTGTTCTTTCTCCGGTACCTCCGCTGAAAAGATCTCAGCGAACAGAGACTGGGGAAGACCTTCCTCTGCCCAGGAATCGCTGCCAATCAGGGAAGAGACTTCTAAACCGGATCGATAATCCGACTCGGTACACGGCAATTTTCCTACTGAATGATTCAAAGGGCTCCCCCCCCCCCGCTGCTGAGCAACCAATATCAAGCTTCTACCATTAGAAGCCAGGGTTTCCAAGCTGTATCCTTGGACTTCTAAGCAAACTTGGGCCCCGCCGGCTGCCATTTTGAAAATGAGCCCCAGTCCATTTTAAGCCCGGGTTCAAAGCTTCAGGGGCACCCTAGCTCCCCCCCCCGCGCCTTTTTCTGTCTTCTTTGTGTGTGAAGTCCTGTGAAGTCATTTCTGACTTATGGCAACCCAACGAATGAACGACCTCCAAAACGTCCTATCGTCCGCGGCCTTGCTCAGGTCTTGCAAATTGGGTGCTGTGGCTTCTTGGATAGAGTCGGTCCATCTCATGTTGGGTCTTCCTAGAATCATAGAGTTGGAAGATGACCTCCGGGGTCATCTAGTCCAACCCCCTGCACAATGCAGGAGATTCTCAAATACCTCCCCCTCCACACCCTCCACAGTGACTGCTGTTCCATGCCCAGAAGATGACCAAAAAACCCCTCCAGGTACTGCAGCCAAACTGGCCTGAAGAAAAATCACTTCCTGACCCCAAAGTGGCAATCGGCATTTCCCCGGGCGTGTAAGAAAGGGCCATGAGGAAGAAGAGGAAGAAGAGGAGGAGGAGGAGATTGGATTTATACCCCGCCCTTCACTCAGAGTGGCTTACAATCTCCTTTCCTTTCCCCTCCCCACAACAGACACCCTGTGAGGTAGGTGGGACTGAGAGAGCTCTCAGAGAAGAAGAAGAAGAAGAAGAAGAAGAAGAAGAAGAAGAAGAAGAAGAAGAAGAAGAAGAAGAAGAAGAAGAAGAAGAAGAAGAAGAAGAAGAAGAAGAAGAAGAGGAGGAGGAGGAGGCC